AGGCCTCTTCCCCTTTCCACCCCGACCTCCCCGCTCCCCACTGTACTTTGGCTCATGCTAATTTTCCACCTGTTGAAAAACTGGAAAATCTTAATGGGGTGATCGGGAAAGGCCAGGCTGGGGGTGGGGAGGGACTGGGGGTAGCAATGGGCTCCCCCTTGGCCCCATCAGCTTCCACTTCACCTGGAAAATCCTCTGCCTTGGATTTTCCAGCATCTCATATGGGCCAGGAGGAAAGGAAAAACCCATGGAGCATGTGTGTATGCATGTGTTGGGGTGGGAGGCTGCCCTGTGGCCCTATCTCACTCTGGTGCCCCAACATATGTCGTGGCCTGGGGGCCAGGGCCATAAGTCATGAGGGGCATGTTGGATTTTCCCCATACCATGGTTGCCCCACCACTAGTCTCCTCCCAGCCTCCTGCCCCTTCCCAGCTGCTTTGGGGTGCCCCTGCCAGGCTGGGACCCTCCCATCCATCCCCTGGCCTCATGGCCCCTTCTGGCCCAGCTGTACCCATGCCCTCTCCTCAACAGCTCCCCCAACTACACCCCCATCTTGGCGTGCTCCCTGCTTTCCTGCCCAATGCCCCAGTGAACATCAAGGCCCATTCCCACAGTGACACAGCCCAGTCCACTCTGCACCCCATAGTCACTCATCCCCTGCACTGCCCTGCCTTGTCATTCCACCCCACCCCACCCCACCCTGCCCCCAGTGTCCCATAACCCACTCCCTGAAGTAACCAACCCTACCCCACCTGCACTCCCGGCAATCAACCCACACCCTGCTCTCTGCTCCCCCACCCCCAGCCTGCACCTCAGTGACCCCCACATTCCCAGCTCTCATTCTGGGCTTTAGCATGGCCTATTTTCCCCAGAAGATCAGCTTGCACACCCCCTCCCCCCCAACACTTCCTTCCTGGCACCCTCAAACCTCCTGTCCTACAGCCCGGGGCAATGGGCCACCACATTATAGAGGTCAGTGTCTGTCGTCATCGTCCCCCTCCCCCCCAACGAGCCCTCCTGCCCCCTGTACTCCCACTGCCCCTGCCACCCCCGTGTCCCTCCGCCACAATCTGCCATGCTCACCCTCACCCCAGGGTCCCCCAGTCTCTCCTCCTCCAGCTCTGTCTCGCTCACTCTCTCCAGGGCTCCGGGCCCACCTGGGGCCCTAGCCAGGGAATGTCAGACAGCCTGAGCAGGGGAAGGGGGGGCCCCGGGGGCTCCCAACCCATGTGCTTTTAACCTCTTCAGCTCTTTGAGCAGCATGGGGATGAGCCTGGCTGGGCACTGTCCTGAGGAAGCTCACAGCCACAGGGCACTGTGATAGGGTAGTTCACAGCAGTGGGTCCATGGCAAGGGTGTTGCAGTAGGGAAATTAGCAGCAACAAGTTGCCATGGGGGAAACTTGCAGCAGTGGGGTCTTGTTTGGGCCACTGTTGTGGGGATGCCCACAGCACTGGGGTCCAGCCTGAGGGTGCTACTGTGAGGAAGCTCATAGCACTGTTACACCACCTGAAGGCACTGGCATGGGGAGAGTTGCAGCTTCTCCCCCCATACACATCCCTGTTCCTGCACACACTGACAGCTGCAGCAGCTCTCAGGCTGGCCTCTCCATGTGCTGACACAGCCTCTTACTGCCCGCCCCACATTACCCGCAGGAGCAGGCCAGGTCAGCTGTCCCAGGCCCACTGTGGGGCTGGGACAACCTGTGCCAAGCAGAGACATAAAAATAACCCGTGTACCCAGCCCCACCCAGGAATATTTTGAGCGCTGTGAAGGGGTATTGGGTTGCCAAAAGCCTTGGACAGGAGCTCCCAAAGGGCTGGGATATAGCAGGGGAGGGGCCGTCAAAGTGTTGGGGCCCCCAGGCTGGGATATAGGTGGGGATGGGGACTGGGCTGTGTCTCAGTGTTGTAGTCTCAGAGCTGGAATATTGCAGGGGATAGGGCCATGTTTCCGTGTTGGATCCCAGGCCTATGCTATAGTGGGGGACAGGCCGTGTCTCAGTGCTGAGTCCCAGTGCTGGATACAGCAGGATGTGGGGCAGTTCCTGGGCAGGCAGTGGAGGGTATCGCTGCTCCCCCAACGCGGTGGAAGAGGTCTGAGGGGACCCCCGCCCCCTCTTTCCTTTTTACCCCCCTCCCCCGGGCAGAGGGCGGGGCGGGGCAGGGCAGGGCAGTTGGCATTTGTAATCAGGCGCGCAGTTGGCAGCCCCGGCGGCGGGGGGGAGGTCCTCGTTAGGCGAGGTTTTAAGGGCTCCGGCGGCGCCACGTGGGACTAGAGCGCTGCTGCGCGGCCACGTGGGCGCTGGTGGGATGTATGGGGGAGGGGGATCGCAGTGGGGTGGCTGCTGGGTTGGGAGAGTTACCCTGAGGGGTCCTCGCAGGGTAGTTGGGTGGGGGTCGTGTGGGCTGGGGGACCTTGGGGAAGGGTCTGGGGTCCTGTAGTATGTAGTAGGGGTGCTGGGGGTAGGCGAAGGGGTCATGGGGAAGGGGGGCGTTTAGAGCTAGGGGATATCGGGGTCTTTATACAGTAGAGTGGCTTTGAGTGATGGGCAGTCTTGGCAGATCTTTTTTTGTCAGCCCCCCACCTCTTTTATTTCTATCAGCATGAGGGTCCCTACTGGTTTAAATTGGGCCCACTTTCCACAGATAATTCACTTACTCAAATGTTTTTGAATATTTCAGGAACTTCTCAAGCTACAAGGCAAGTCTCGTGCTGCCTTGGATCAGAGCTGCCCTCTGGGCTGGGGCTGTTGGTGTAGCTGAAGCTTCTGGAGATGGAATGTGACACATAAGTAAGTGGGTGCTTGGGGCAATTGCTTGCGTCTCCAAGGGAAGAGAAATGTGCAGAGTAGTATTCCCATCACTTGGGGTTAAGTATGTGATTTCTAATATTGTATTTGATAGCATTGAAATGATGTGGTTATGATGGTCCTGGGTAGTGGTACTCAAATTTTTGCTGGCTTGGGCTGGATGAGTGTCTCTGGGCTGATCTGTGGACCAGATCCAGCCCTATGAGTCAGGGCTGGGCCTTGCACTGCCTCAGGCCAGCCCGTGTCCCTGGATTGGTTCTGGGCTACCAACACATGCAGATATACTATCTGGCCTGCGGGGCTCCCCTTTGGGTCTGGAAATCTGGCAGCAGGGGAGCAGTAATGGTTGCCACCACCAAATTTTTGGCCCCCTGCAGGTGGAATGGCTTGGCTCTGCAGCCAGGACTAGGCCTGTGGGTTGGGGGTTGAGCATCCCCTGGTCAAGGAGATATGCAAGAGGCAAGAATTCTTGCCGATGATCTTTTATTGGACCAATTCTGTGGTCATTGTAAGCATAGACAAGCTTTTGAGTATCAGTAGCTTTACCTCGTTATTTCCAGGCCTAGTAGAAGTAGTTGCAAGTATGTGTTGCCTCATCTCCTTCACTAGAAAGACCTCTCTTCAATTTCAGTTTCATTCCCAAAGTAAACAGGTTAGGAGTGGAGAAGGCAAATGAATGTATTGTGTAGAGAAGGGTGATTCCCAACCAAGGTGTCCTGGCACCCTGGGGTGTCACAACATCCTTTCAGGGGTATGCACAATATTAGTGCTGTTAGGTGTGCAAACACCTACACATGACACAAAATAAAGCAGGGTAGATTTGCATCTTTTATGGGCTAATTGTAAACCCAGAAACTTCAAATAGGAATCCACAGTGTCAAAAACATTCCAGCCTGCTGTGGGCTTCCTGAGTTATTTGCAACAGAAGAATTAGTCTATTATTCCTCACTCAAAGAAGTGAAAGCCAATGGCCCTTCCTGAAGGGGGCCTTTGTGCCTTGGAAGGTTGAGAATCACTGTGGTAGACAACGGTTAATACCAAAATAGGGAACAAGGAGCCAGATGCTGAATCTGAATATTAAAGAGTAGTGTGAAGGGCAGGGTATTGCATACTTACTTTTCCAAAGTTGAGTATTATTTAAGGAGAGCACAGATTCCCCCTATCCCCCTCCAAGAATAACACTATTTAAGAAAAAAATACAACTTCACTTTTTAATTGAAAACAGGAAATAATATATATTATGTTTGTGCTTCAGTCTGAATGGGTGTCAAGTACAGTATTACTCAGTAGCTAGCAAGTCTGTGTATTAGGTCAAATAAGCACCATTCTTTAACCACGGAAAATGATTATTTCCTTTAATCATGCTTAAAATCGCTAGAGAATCTTTTCTCCTTTGAAAATGTTCTCTGTAGTCCTGAGACGCACATAAAACAAAATCACTTGCATTACTTGCAATAACACCCCTTCCTAAATAGACCAGTCCCTTTGGGGGGGATGGGGAGTGGTTAAAACTCCTAAAACCAGGGCAGTTAAAACCACAGGGATCAAAACTCTCTAAACCTGGTGACAGGAGTGTTGAGTGAGCCTAGGGATATAATTTGTGGGAGGGAGGGGTTCCCTGAGGAGAGGGATCCAAGAGACTTGTGTGCCCTTGATGGCAGGGTGACCTCAGGATGTGGTGGGAGAGGGGTTGAATGAGGCAGTATGGTGAGTTTGCAGGGGTTGAACTGGGCATGTTGGAAGCCTGAGGAGGGGCTGGTGTTGCCAAGAGGGTAGGTGGGATGAGGGCTGGTGAAGACTTGTGGGGTGGCAGCAGTCCCCAGGTTTCAGGAAGGGGTGAGGGTGGCACTGGGTCCCCAATGATGTCAGCACTGGGCACTGAGCTCCTGTGACGATGGCAGTGCCTCCTGGGGATTTGACACCCTGGAGGACTGAGGGGACCTTGTTGTCCTGGAGGGCTGTGGGTTGCCTGGAAGCTGTGCTTTTGAGGGGGGTGGGGCTGAGACACAATTGGCATGGTTATGGGTCTTGAGGCTCTGATCTGGGATAGTCATCTGACAGCAAATCTGTCCTTCCCCTCCAGCTCCTGTGCAGTCTCCCCAGCATGATTCTGTGGGGAAGACCCTGTTCTCCCAGCTGATGCTGGGGGTGAGGTCAGATGTGTCCCTGACTCCTGAGACCTTTCTGTTGGTAAATAGAATGGGTAGGGGGGCTGATTGAGTGGGGGTCCCTTTCCTTTCACATGGCAAATGGTAGGAAGGGATCAGGGTTGAGAGGGCAAGTGTGGGGGAGGGTCTCTGATGATGTCAGCACTGGGCACTGAGCTCCTGTGATGATGGCAGTGCCTCCTAGGTTCTTGACACCCTGGGGGACTGAAGGGCAGTGTATGGGCACCTCCAACCCCAGGGCTGGGGTGGGGGTGGGTGTGCTATTCTGTTGATGCTTTGCTCTTCTCTCCAGGGGCCTGGCAACACCCAGCATGGAAGGGTGGTTGAGTGGCACAGGGGGGCTGACTCTGCGCTGGGAACCCCCTGGAATGGCCTGAGGCAGGTAGAACTGAAGTCATGATCCTCTTGGGAACTAGAATATGCTCCAGTCTCCAAACTGACTCCAGTGCTGAGGTATGAAGCAGACCCTACCCTGCAGGCGTAGCGCCCCCCCCACCCTTAGGGCTCCCCAAAATGCTTGGGGGCTCTAACCTTCCCTGCCAGGTCCAGGGTCCCCAATGATGTTAGCACTGGGCACTGAGCTGCTGTGATGATGGTAGTGCCTCCCAGGGACTTGACATCTTGGGGGACTGAGGGGACCCTTCCTAACTTGTGATGTACCACATGCCATGTAAGGCTGGTCTGGGGCTAATTCCGCTCTTCTTTCTCTTGTAGATGCCAGTGATGGCCCATCTCTTCCAGGCCTGGTGTGCCCTCAGCGTTAGACCAATGCAGAGCTGGGGGTGGAGGGCAGGTCTCCTGGGTTCCCTTCCCTGTACTTGTTTGCCCTGGCGGTTCTCCAGGCTGGGCTACTTCCTGCTCTGCTGTCTGGAAGGAAGTCATGGTGGAATCTGGGGATGGCTGCGGGCTCTAATGCCTCTCCCATATCTATGGATCTTTTGGCATCTGTAGGCTTTTTGGCTTCCAGCTATGAGTCAGGCAGCCCAGTTGGCTGTAGCAAGGCTCCCAGGGTGAAACTGAGGGTGCAGACCTGGGGCTGGGCCTGAGCCCCTTGTGCCCAGACTTTCCTCCCTTGGGAAAGGCCTTCCTGTGCCCCAGCAATGGGGAGGCAGGAGGAATTGCGCCTGACTGGGGAGGTGCAGGTGGTTCTAAAACAGCTGTGGGTGGGCTGGGCCCACCTCAACCTCTGTTGTCTTGGAGCAGGGAGTCACCCCCCTCTATTTCCTAGAGTCCTGCTCTGTGGTCCCTGGGACTGAAATCTGTTGGGGGGAGGCAGCCTGGGCAGAACCCTGGCTTGGCCTGTGTGCTGTGAGAGGGGTGGTTTCAGCATGGCAGCCCCATGGGGCAGGATGAGGGTGGGCAAATAGAACAGTTGAGCAATAGATGAAGGCATGGGCCTGAGGCAGCTGCTGGCATGTTAGGGAATGGGCACCAAACTGGCTGGGCAGGCTTGAGGAAGCATGGCTGTGGGAATGAATGTGTGTTGAATGTGCAGATGCTCAGGTAATGAGCCATGCATTAAAGTGGTGGTTCCCTTCCACTTGGTGGGGTGCCCTCATTGAAGCATCAGTGTGTGGTTCTGTGCAGTGGTATCTTCCTGTGGCTGGGTGCCTAGGTCTTGTGCCTGGGGAGGGGAGGGGAGGGACCCAGGGCACCCTTGTCCCCACCCCTTCTGGCATTGTCCCATGGGTCTGATCACTCTGGGTGCAGCAGGAGCACTGGCAGTCCCCTCATGGGCGTGCATCTGCTGGGGAGGTGGTACCTGAAAGCCAGACTGTGCCCAGTGGTGGTTTTATGTGGCTGTGAATCAGGGCACCCAGCACCTTAGAGGGGCTGTAATACAAAAGCCCCTAGGATAACTGGGGGCTTTTATTTTTATCTGGAGAAGCCAAAGCAAGTTCCCACTTACACATGGATGTATTGGGATATCATCAATTGGTCAACATTACCAAGAGCTGCTACTTGGAGCAGAGAATACACAGATGTACTCACTGGATGTCTTGGGGCCCTCAGAATCTGTCCTCATAGTTGAGACAAGTTCCAGACTCCCACCCCCGGGCCTTTGTGTGAAGCAGTTTTTATACTGTTCAGATTCCGTTTCTCTGAGAGCACCTCTTGGCCCAGTGAGCAGGAAGCAGGGAAACTGAGTCAAGACCTGTGACCGTTGTACTTTCCTGGGGTTGCCTACTAGCGTTGGGTGTGATTATTGGTTTATGCATCTCAATTCCCTACTTCTCATTGCTAATGGAGAGATTCAGATTGATCTGCTGGGATCAGAGTCTGGGAGGAGGAATGAGATGATGCCCAGCACAGCAAAAAAGGGTGATTAGTGTTTGGAACACCCCATTACTGGAACCTCCTGCCCAGTGCAGCTGTGCAGTAGTCCTTGGCACTGGAAGCTGAGTGGGGCGGCGGGAGGAGCTAGGGCAGTGCCTAGTGACACTTAGATGAGCTGATAAAGGCCCCACCCCCTTGTTCACAGACTCCTCCCTTGGGAAAGGCCTTCCTGTGCCCCAGCAATGGGGAGACAGGAGGAATTGTGCCTGACTGGGGAAGTGCAGGTAGCTCTAGAACAGCTGTGGGTTGGCTGGGCCCACATCAACCTCAGTTGCCTATCCGCATGAGTTTTCCTGCCACCCTGATGCAGGGGGCCATATATCCCTGACCCTAATGCTGGTCCACGTTCTGATCCAATGGGGCATGTATTAGCTGAGCACCCAAGGGGGTTCCTGTACACACCAGTGAGCGAGGCTTAGACCATGGTCAGGCCCTAGGGTTCAGAGAGGTTCTCCCTAGACACCTAGGTATCTTTATAAGTGAGAGGGGAGGGCACTGAATGCAGGCAGGGTGGAGTATACACGGCCATGCCAGGAGAGGGCAGGGCCCAGGAATTTAGTAGCTTCACCCTACCTGGTGTCTTGGGCAGAGTGGGGGACAGCAACTCAAAACAGGTGTCAGGGGCATTCAGCTTTATTGGGGGTGAGGTATTGAATGCAACTTTTGTCCCCCCACCTTCCCAATCCTGGCCCATTTGTGCAGCATCTTCAGGCACTGCCTTCCCTTTGCTGTTGGTGCCAGTGCAGGATGCCCAGGCCTAGCACTGCCAACCCCAGCACTGCCACAGTCACAGCCAGCGCTGGTACAGTGTCCCCTGCAACACAGCGTGTGGGGGTGGGTCACAGGGCCAGTGGCAGGGAGGTGGAGCCACCTTGGGTGCAGAGCAACTACTATTCGGGGGAGGGTGGGGCATGGATGATATCACTGTGGTTAGTGCAGGGGTGGGGTGTACTTAGTAGGGTGGGTGCTGACTAGAGCTTATCTCTGCCCTATGGGCAGGGAGGGGGGGCACTAGGCTCATTTGGGGCTCTTTAAGGGTCTGGGGTGCACTGTGGAGGGGGGGGGAATGGCACTGGGAGTTTGAAGCCTGGGGGTCCTTGCCTGTGTCCCATAACTGGATATGCTGGGGGGTGGTCAGTGCCTGGCTCCTATGGGGCTGAGGGGTATTGTGGGGCTGCCTTGACCTTGCAGGGACTGTGTGCAGGGAGCTGGGGGATCCTTACCTGTGCCCTGTGGGGGCTGGGCACAGCCGCAGTCCCGTGCCCGGTCAGTGGGGCGGACAGGCTGGGTGAGGTGGGTGAAGCGCTCCAGAGGACAAGGCGGGGGGCAGCCGGGCAGCACCAGCTCGAGGAAGTCACGCCCACTCTCATTGCGGTAGAACAGGCCCACACTGAATGTGCTGGGGTGGTGATGAAGGCAGTGACACCACATGTCTCTGGTGCCCTCCAACCCCCTCCCCTGCCAGGCCCCAACAGAGATCCTGGCTATCCCCAGGCTGCTGACCCCAGTCTCCCCCATGGGGACCTTGGTACCTCCCAGCCCCCTCACCTGTTGCTCTCCTGGTAGAACTCAAAGCCAAGGCAGGCGGCATAGGGAGGCAGCTCCCCCCTGTACAGGCCCAGGGCCGCCAGGAGGGCAATGAGGGTGCTATCATGCTGGGGGAGGGGAGACATCACAGCAGTGAGATGCACCTCTCCCCCACACACACCTAGGGCCCCCAGTGACACCCCTTCCTGAGCCCTCTGGCCTTCCCACCATTTTCTGTCACCCATGGACACCCTTGTGCCTCAGGTACCCCCCTCTACTCGCCCACTCTGCTGGGGTAGGGGGCTCCCCACTCCTGATCCTGAAGGTACACTCCAGCTCCCCCAGCCTGCTCAAGTACCCCCATCCCCTACAGGACTCCTTCCCCCTCATGTACTGTCTTCCTCAGCCCCTCTGAAAGTAGGAAATCCCTCCCCTGGGGTGCTCACCCCCGAGTACATCACCATCCGGAGGGGAAGGCTGCGGCGTGTCACCTCGGAGAAGTTCTGCAGCATGGCATCCAGCAGCACCCCTGGGGTAGTGGGTGGAGGGGGTCACCCATGGATAGGGGATTGTATGGGGTCATCACAGTCTGGCACTGGGGAGCAGGGAGGGGCACCCTGCAGTAACACCATGGGGTGGGGGGACTTGAGGGGAAGGGGTGGTGGGGGTGTTCTGGGGTGTAGGGACAAGATCTGGTGGTCCATCCCCCCCCAGCGTCGCAACACCCACCTCCTGTGAGCCGGGCCTTCTCAGCAACCTGGTACAGCCCCACATGCGCCAGAGTGTCGAAGGCGATGATCTCACCCAGCGTGGTCAGGACACGCGGTGTGGCCCAGGCTGGCAGCTGCAGGCCATGGATCTGCTGTGGGGCGGTGGAGATAGGGTGTGAGCCTGGGATGGGTCTAGGGGCTTGGCCAGGAGTTGTCATGGAGTAGCTCTGTGGGTGGGGGTCACCAAAAAGAGTGGAGGTGTGGCAGTGCAGGCATACTAGGGCTTGTAGGAGATATGGGTGTAGGATGTGGTTTTCAGGGGCCAGGTGAGGGGATTGGGGATCCTGCCCTTGGGAGTACAGCCATGTTCCCTGAGGGGGGCGTGGCATTCAGGGTTTAGGGGGCAGGTAGGCTTGGTGCCCCGCCTACCTGGCAGCGGAGAGCATCGTAGACCTTCCAGATGCCACGCGGTGTTGCCCATTCCAGTCCCAGCCCTGTCAGGTTGGCAATGTCCTCCAGAAACCCCTGTGGAGATGGGGATGCGTAAGGGGGTGCCAGGCCTGGCTGAGGTGATGATGGGGAAGTCCCCCCAAGCACCTTCCAGGCATGCATGCGGGCCTGATGCTGTGGCAAATGGGTGGTCTCCTCCATCAGCTGCTGGTAGCGTGGGCAAGGCTGCAGTGGGAAGCGCAGGAGCTAGGTAGGGAGGCAGGATGGAGTTAGCAACACCCTGACCATGACTCTTCAACCCCAAGTGTAGGTGGGATGACCTCAACCTAAAGGAGAATGTGACCCTAACCTTAAATGTGGCCCCTTTCATCATTACCCCCTAATTCTGACTTAGAAGGAGATGGTGACCCTTTGCCCTAGGGTGAGCTCTGATCCTAGCCGAGACCTCAGCTCCGCAACCTCTGACCCTTGAAGGGCTCATAAGCCTGGGGACCAGGGGCATGGAGAATGAGAAGGTGGTCATTAGAAGATGTGGGGGTGGGGCAGTGGGGGCACATTGGGGTGTGGGGGGGCATAGGTATGTGATGGGGCTTCGAGGCATGGGGCTCAGGGGTCCTGCCCTCAGGCTAGAGGCAGTGAGGGGGGTATGCAAGGTGCAGAGAGTGGCTGGGCCCCCTGAAGGGGTGACCCATAGCCCCGACTCACCCTGTCCTGTGCAGCTGGCACAGTGTGGACAGGCACTGGCTGCCAGGCGGGGTTGGGGGGCCCGGCACCTCCGGGTGGGTACAGCCCAGCTAGGTTAGCCTGGGCGCTGGCCAGCGTGCGGTCATAATCGGTGCTGCGGGCGTAGATC